GGTGGTGAGGTTGGCCCAGGATCGAGCATTGTTTCGTTCTGCTGTGCATGGGGTCGCTATGAGTCGGTTCCGACTCGATGGCACCTGACAACAACAACTTACATTTTCAAAACAACCCAGGTGGCACAGTGGTTAAGCGCTCAACAGATAACCAAAAGTCCCGAGGAAGAAATATATAGCAGTCTGTTCCCATAGAGTACAGCCTTATAAACCTCATGGGGCAGTTCTACTCTGTTATAGGGTCTCTATGAGTCAGAATCAACTCAATGCTAACAGGGTTAGTCCATTTTCTAATGGCCTCATTTTATCACATTGTTGTTGTTGTTAGGTACCATCAAGTCGGTACCGACTCATAACGGCCCTATGCATAACAGAATAAAACACTGCCCAGTCCTGGGCCAACTTCACAATCATTTGTACATTTGAGCCCATCATTGGTGCTCCTGTGCCAATCCACCTCATTGGGGTCTTCTTCTTTCTCCAACCCTCCATTTTACACTATGTCCCAAGTATAAGAGACAAAGTCTGGCCATCCTGGCTTCCAAGGAGCACTCTTTCCATATGTCTTTTAACACAGATCTGTTTGTTCTTTTGGCAGCCCATGGTACTTTCAATATTCTCCTCCAACACCATAAAACTCAAATGCATCAAATTCTTGTATGGTCTTCCTTATTTATTGTTCAACTTTCACATGCAGTTGCTGTTGTTGTTAAGTGGTATCGAGTCAGTTCCGACCCATAGCAACCCTATATAGGGTTTCCAAGGAGCAGCTGGTGAGCTTGAACCACCAAACTTGTAGTTCAAACAGCTTTGCAGTCTGGTACATTAATCCACAGTGCCACACCAGGACTCCACACGCATATGTTGTTGTTTTGTTATGTGTCATCAAGTCGATACTGACTCATAGTGACCTATGCACAGCAGAATGAAACACTGCCTGATCCTGGGCCAACCTCACCACTGTTGCCACACTTGAGTCCATTAATGCTCCCACTTGGCCAATCTATTTCATTGGGGGTCTTCCTCTTTTTCTCTGACCCTCCACCTTACCAAATATGATATCCTTCTCCAGCGACTGATCCCTCCTGACAATATGTCTGAAGTATGAGAGATGAAGTTTGACCATCTTGGCCTCTAAGAAGCACTCTGGCTACACTTCTTCCAAAACAGATCTATTGGTTCTTTTGGCAGCCTGTGGCACTTTCAATATTCTCCTCCAACATCATAACTCAAATGCACCAATTCTTCTACAGTCTTCCTTACTCACTGTCCAGCTTTTGCATGCATTTAAGGTTATTGAAAATATCATGGCTTGGGTCAGGCGCACCTTAATCCTCAAGCTGGCATCTTTGCTCTTCAACACTTTAAAGAGGTCTTGTGCAGCAGATTTGCCTAATGCAATACGTCATTTGATTTCTTGACTGCTGCGTCCCTGAGTGTTGATAGTTGATCTAAGAAGAATGAAGTCCTTGACAACTTCAATCTTTTCTCTGTTGATAAGAACGCTGTTTATTGGTCCAGTGGTGAGGATTTTTGTTTTCTTTACATTGAGATGTAATCCATAGGGAAGGCTGTGCTCTTTGGTCTTCATCAGTAAATGTTTTAAGTCCTCTTCACTTTCAGCAAGCAAGGTTGTATCATCTGCATATCACAGGTTGTTAATGAGTCTTCCTCCAATCTTGACGCCATGTTTTTCTTCATATGACCCAGCTTCTCAGATTATTTGCTCAGCATACACGTTGAATAAATATGGTGAAAGAATACAACCTTGTCGCACACCTTTCTTAATTTTAAACCATTCAGTGTTCCCATGTTCTGTTCGAACAACTGCTTCTTGGTCCAGGTACAGATTCCTCATGAGCACAATTAAGTGTGCCAGGATACTCATATTTCACAATGTTGTCCAGAGGTTGTCATGATCCACATAATTGAAAGCCTTTGCATAGTCAATAAAGCTCAGGTAAACATCTTTCTGTTTAGTCACTAAAAACCTTATGAATAGCAGAGAAACATGCATATGAAGTTACTGAAAATACCACGGCTTGGGTCAGGTGCACCATAGTCCTCACCCTGATATCTTTGCTCTTGAAGACTTTAAAGAAGTAGCAGATTTAAAGTGTAGCAAATTTGCCAAATGCAATTTTATCATGTAGGGTGCAATAAACAGTTGACTGCTACCCTTATTGTGGCCTGCTTACCCATCAAAACAGTGAAAAGAACAATGCTCAGAGTCCATAAGCAGCCAGCTAGGATGAGGGACACTATCACTGTTGTTAGGGGCTGTCGAGTCAGTTCCATTTCATAGTGACCCTTGTGCACAACGGAACACAACCCTGCCCATTCCTGCAACATCTTTACAATCACTGCTGTTGGGGGTCAATGTTGCTGCCACTATGTCAGCCCATCTCACTGAGGGTCTCCCTTTATGACTACGATGCTCTTCTCCAGGGACTGGTCTCTTAACAAGAAGATTATATAGACAATAGCCAAGTCAATGCCAATGTGATTTTTATCCTTTTACTCCTTCCAATGGACAAACTGGTTCATATGCTCACACAAATATCCATCATTCAGAGTCTAAGGAACTTAACACCATTTTAAAACAGTCAGAGTTTGTGTCCTTACCTCTTGCTCTGGACAGTACCATCTCCTTTATTATTTGCATAATAACACGTCCAAGAACCATGACTGAGATCAGGTGATAAATCCTCCATGGAGTCAACGCAAGGAACCTGAAAGAATGAAAGCAGACACATCACTCATTCAGTCCTGGCATTTCTTACTTTCTTTTTCTTTTTTTTTTCTTCCTGAAACAAAAGCAAAATAGATATTCAGCCCTGATTTGACTATTGGAAATCTCCCCAACGTGACTGCATGAAAGTTATCTGAAAGGCATCAAAGGCAGTTGGGTGGAAATGCTGGAGCCCCGAGTGCTTCTGTGCTGGGCGTGCAGCTCTAACCTCTAATTTGGGCAGAGAGTTGCTATTTGGGGCTGGCCTAAATATCACCCACAACGCCCGGCTCCTCCACTAACAGGGAGACTGGAAGTGACCTAACCCAGAGTGAAGAAGGGTCAGGGAGGTGGCAGAGGGGCAGCCTTGTCTAACCATGTTCACAGTCGGATCCCTCTTTCCTCGCTATTCCCTCCCTTAAGCTGGTTTGGTTTGGCTTTATGCCTTCATCACCACTTGGGCTCTACCCCCTCCAAGTACATCTCTTAACAATAATCCCTATTAAGGATGCAATTCATCATCTAGATGTCAGTTTGTCGTACGGTGGTGGTTTTGCATGTTGCTGTGTGGCTGAATGCTATGCCACTGAAATTTCAAATACCGGCAGGGTCAACTGTGGTGGACAGGTTTCAGCAGAGTGTCTCCAGGAAGAAAGGCCTGGTGATCGTCTTCCAAAAGTTACACAATGAAAGTCACAACAACACTGTCGGATATAGTACTGGAAAATGAGCCTCCTAGGTTGGAAGGCACTAAACAATCCCTGTAACAACAGACTGGCCCAAACTGACAATCATAAATATGGTGCCATGGAACCAGGTAGCATTTCATTCTATTAGGTCAGGGCCAACTCAGCGGCCCCTGACCACAGTAAGGATGCAATTTGCTAAGACTCTCACTTTAGGATCACTATTTTCACCAAAGGCATTGACGAAAGAACAAGGTTCCAAAAAACTGACAGAGTACCAACTGAAATGTTTCAACAAACTGATGCAGCAGTGAAGGCACTTATTTATGCCAAAAAATGTGGAAGATAGCTACCTAGCCAAAGTAACAAAGAGATCCATATTTGTGCTCATTCCAAAGAAAGTTGGCCTAATGGAATGCGGAAATCCAAAACAGTAGTAAAAAGGTCTAGTCACCAAAATACCTATCCAAGACACGGTTGGTCTCTCTTCACCTGGAACAGCAGAGGAGGGAGAGTCAGGAACAGGAAGAGGGAAAGGAATGCGTGGTTAATTGCCTCCTTGAACAACTTGCCTCCTTTGCCAGGAGACGAGAAGAATCGGATGGTGCCTGGTTACCATTACTGAATATTTTGTTCGAAAATTCTACAGAAGAATCCAGATCTGAAAGGGGAAAATGCAGAACATAACTTCAGATTCTCATAAGCTCCAGACTTTCTACAGCCATGGAGACTGGACGAACTTCTGAAACTCCTGAGACAACCTTTAAACTTTGAGGCAAAAATATCCTTGAAAGTTGCCTTAAAACCAAGTGATAATTTAGTTTAACGAGTAAAGAACGTCTGTCTCAAGCATTGTGCTCTTTGAAGACCTTCTAAGAACTATCATGTTCTTTTTGCGGTTACGAGTTGGGCTGCTAATCTCAAGGTCAACAGTTCAAAACTACCAGTGGTTCCATAGGATATACATGAGACTTTCTGCTCCCATAGATTTACAGCCTTGGGAACCCTGATACAGGGTTGCTATGAGTCGGAACTGACTTCACGGCATATCACTACCACCACCATCTAACGCTGTAAATTGCCGTTGTCAACTCATAAAACTAGATAAGAACCTTAGGAGACAGTAAGCTTATCTTGTTGTTGTTGTTAAGTGCTGTCGAGTTGGTTCCAACCCATAGCGACCCTCTCTAGGGTTTCCAAGGAGCAGCTGGTGAGCTTGAACCATTGACCTTGCAGTTCAAACGGCTTTGCAGTCTGGCGCATTAACCCACAGCACCACAACAGGACTCCCAGCTTATCTTAATGGGGGGGGGGGGGAATACTTGGAAAAGGAGGGTGAGAATAGCCATATAACAGGGAGAATTTAATTAATGTCACATGCAGAAACTGTTGAATCGGTGCATATTCTGCTATGTATATTCTCAAAAACAACAACAAAATGAAATAAATTATTAAAATACAAAAAAGTAGACCATCAGAATAGAATTTAGAGCCCAGAAATAAACCCATACATCTATAGTCAACTGTTTTGTTTTATAAGAGTACTAAGCCCATCCAGTAGGGGAATCATTTCTTGTTGATCTTAAGTATTGTCCAGTTGGTTTCAACTCATTACAGCCCTGTACAGGGTTTCTGAGGAGCAGCTGGTGGGTTTGATCTGATGACCTTTTGATTTGCAGTCCAGTACTTATCCTACAGTGCCACGCCAGGAGTCTTGGAAATCATAATCTCTTCAAAAAATGGTGCTGGGAAAACTGAATTTCCCTTTGTAAAAGAATGGAGTTGGGCCCACACTTTACATGACATACAAAAATGAATTCAAAATGGGTCAATGGCCTAAATATAAATACTAAAACCATAAAACTCTTAGAATTAACCACAGAGATCATGCTTCAAGACACTGTCATTGACAATGTAGTTTTTGTTATTAAGTGCCATTGAGTCGGTTCTGATTCATAGTGACCCTGTGTCCAAGGAGGGGCTGGTGGGTTTGAACCACCAACCTGGAGGTTATCAGTCCAGTGTTTATCCTACAATGCCATACCAGGATTCCTCATTGGCAATGGAATCTTAGAAATGACTGAAAGTTCAAACAACAAAAGACAAAATAGACCAATCAGACTTCATCAAAGTTATAATCTTTCACGGATCAAATTAATTTATTAATAAAGTAAAGAGACAACTGATAGAATGGGAAAAAAATATTGGTAACCATATACCTGATAAGAGAGTTTAACATCAAGAATATATAAAGAATTCCTATAACTCACCAACCAAGACAAACAACCCAATTAAATTATTCTACAAAAAATATATTCTAATGATCAATGTTGTTGTTATTAAGTACTGTTGAGTTGGTTCTGACTCATAGCGACCCTGTATAGGGTTTTGAGGAGCGGCTGGTGAATTTGAACTGCTAGTCTTGCAGTTCAAACAAATCTTTTTTTTTTTGGTCCAATGCTTAGCCTACATCAGTACTCCAAATGATCAATAAGCACACACACAAATGCACAACATCACTAGCCATTTGCAAAGCAAAACCATAATGTGATGCTCCTTCACACCCACTAAGATGTTCCGTCAGGAAAATGAAAACTAAGAAGTCTTGGCTGGGAAGCAGAGCAACAGGAAGCCTCATCAATTGCTGGGGGGAACAAAAATGAGGCAGCCACAGCAGAAAACATTTTGGCAGTTCCTTGAAAAGTTAACACAGGATTATCCGAGACCCAGCAATTCCGCTCCTAGATCTATACCCAAACAACTTGAAGCAGTGCCTCAGACAGACCCTGGGGCACCAATGTGGACAGCAGCGCTACAGACAGCAGTCAGAAGGTGAAAACAAGCCAAGGGTCCGCCAACAGAGGGATGGATAAACAAACTGTGGTCTGTACATGCAATGGAAAACAACTCAGCCATCAAGAGAAAAAGGTACTGATGCTGTAACATGTACGCACCATGAAGACGGTCACAAATGGACAAGTGTGTACCAATCCACTTACATGAATAAGCAAAACACAGAGACAAACGTTAACTGGTGATCACAGCAACTAGGGTGATAGAGAAATGAGAATATTACTTAAGGAGTGCTGAGTTTATGTTGGTGGTGATGAAAAAACTTTTGGAAAGGGATTGTGGAGACGGTGGCACAACAGGGTGAGTAGAATTAATATCAGGGGATTGTACACATGAAAAAAGTAGCTAAGCAAAGCTGTTTCCAACCCATCCTATCTTTGCATGAAATCTGAATGAGAGTCACCAAACACAGGTGATTCCGATGTGGGCTTGCTTCTATAGCACCATTTGGCAAGACAGTGTTGGAGAATCGCTCAGCTGGAGGGAGTTCAAAGGTCATCTGGTTTAAACTTCCACTGAATCAATGCTCACCTCAGTTAGATGCCCCCTACTTCCACCCAAATACAAGCTCATATCAGGAAGTTCAACACTTCTTGCAGTCTCCAGTTTCCAGCAGCATTCTCTTGTTACTGTGGGAGGGAAGAATCCTGTTTTCACTGCCTTCACTGATGTCTACTGTCACACACGAGGCTAGCTGCTGGGAATACACCAATGACTAAGTGCCACCCAGCCTTCCCTGGAGGAAGCTGAAGGTGGTAAACAATCCTGCATAAACTCAACAGCCTTCAAATGCTGCAGAGGAGAACAGACAAAGGCAGGAGAAAGCTGGGGACACTTCTCAGAGGTAGAAACAGTGAAGCTTTGGCTTTGCCGGAAGACCAGAGGCCTGGGCCTTCCAAGTAGGGGAGCAGAGGGAAGACAGAACAGCAAGAATCCAACAACAAAACAAGTGCAAGAGAAAGCTGGCCCTGAACTTCAGAGAAGGAATTCTCACCCTCCACACACAAGACATGGGGTCAGGTCCGAGCCACTATAACTCATCTGCGTGGCGTTGTGGAATAAAGCCCTGGACCGCAATGTCCCTTTGAACCACAAGTTTAGAGGTTCAAACTCGCTCGCCGCTCCTTGGAAACGCTACACAGGGTCGTTATGAGTCGGAACCGACTCAACAGCACCTAACAACAACAATACCTCATTGCAGTCAGCACCCATCTGTTGGTGGAGACTTACGTGGTGTTGCTATACTGAACAGGTTTCATGCACTTTCCTACTAACGACAAGCTAAGAAGAAAGGTTTTGCAAACTACCGGAGAAAATCATCCAGTAAAAGCCCTGTGGATCACAACGTCTGATCTCACTGTGGATGGGTCACCATGGATCAACTTCTTCCTCCACTCAGTGCAGCTTGGTCTACTCTCAGAACCAAATTCTGCATAAAATAGCTGCTGTGGGCACAGGCAAG